CCCCTGAACCCAGCCTGTCAGCAGTACGCGCCGAAAAAGGGCGTTATCACTACGGCGTAGCCCATTTTTAAGCAGGTGATTTATGAATCCATTTCTGGGTGTATGAAAGCTCCGGGGCGGGGGGGGGGGGGGGGGGGGGCGCCTGTTAGCCAAACAGAATCTGCGCCTATTTTTAGTGCTTTCTGATAGGGGATGAGGAGAACGACACTCTCTACACACAGCCATGAGAAATGTGAAATCGCAGCACGATTAGACGACGGCCCCGTGTGAGGAAGCACCTCTGGGAATGACTGGGTACATCACTGGGTACATCAGCGGCACAGTGCTGCAGGTGACCGCACCCCCACCCGAATCTCCCATGTGAAAACCTGCAACACCCCATCCATTTTTCATTAAAGACGGCTCCCCGAATAGCTTCATAAAATAATCAGATCAGCAATAATGTAATAATAATAGGAATGGCACACACTACTTGCCATGATAATTATATTTACCCTGCGGCTAATTAAACATTAAGTGCCTTAGTAACATTACATTGAACCTTGGTTTGTTCCAATTATGGCTTACAATTAAAAAATTGACCTTGCATTACGGGAACATGCATTGTACTCTTTGATGCAGTGACCTGAATTATTGACAATAAATTATTTATTGTGGAAATCGTGTTTTAATCATTCTCCACAAGGACTATTTATGTCGGTGATGAGAGGCTGTTTGTAAATTATTCAGAAACCAACTTGCAGCTTCACATCACAATGAAAGTTTCTTTTTTTAAATTTGCACACTAGGTGGTGTAGTAATTAAGGTTACCTGGGAGTACTCCAGTGCAACATGCAGCTGAGTGGATGAATAGACGCAGGAGTTCCGGAAAAACTGATGGATAAGAGACATAAAAAATGATGGGATGTGTTTGCTGCGGCCGTCGCTGTGAAAATGCCTTCATGGGCTGTAATGGGTGCCGTCTCTCATGTGCCTCCCCAGATGTGTGGCACCATTGAGGCAGACGAGGCGGAGCGCTGACTGGAGCTCGATCGCGCCTCGCCTGTGCGGCCTGGCAAACAGGAGTTTTTGCAGCAGTTACTTCAAATGATCATGAGCAGCTGCTTCCCATGGCAGCGTTATAAACACCGGCCCCAAATCACCCCCCCCCCCCAATCTGGAGTCCTGCCTATAGAGCCTTCGTCATCGTTCAGCCTCTGTTGCTCCAAACGGTCCTTTAAGACGGATGATGTGCGCATCAGCGGGTGCCTTCTGTGTCTGTGATCTGCTGCTTCCAATCCCATGGTCAGCAGAATAGTCATGTCACTTCTAGGCCCTTGACCAAGGTCTTTATCCCCCGAAATGCCCCAAGGGTGCAGTGCAAACACCCTGCGCTTGGACCCTATAGTATGATATTATGTGTGTGTGTGTGTGTGTGTGTGTGTGTGCATAATAGCATACGTCAAACCTAACAAACCCCAATGTGCTTGTTCACATTCAAAATGAAGCATTACTTCATTCAGGGCGTTACCTGAACATGAAATGCGATAGCACCCGAAATAAACCCAGCCGGGAAAAGATGATAAGAGGCGGAAATCGGGAACCATCCACAGCACGAGTTCACCCAGACCCACTCTTTCCACGTGTGATGAGGGTGTAGCGCCATGGCTTTGAGGCCGCCTCTCCTTTACGGGAGCAACCAAGGCTTTGAGGCCGCCTCTCCCTTACGGGAGCAACCAAGGCTTTGAGGCCGCCTCTCCTTTACAGGAGCAACCAAGGCTTTGAGGCCGCCTCTCCCTTACAGGAGCAACCAAGGCTTTGAGGCCGCCTCTCCCTTACAGGAGCAACCAAGGCTTTGAGGCCGCCTCTCCCTTACAGGAGCACCTCGCAATTTGACGGCTGATGTACGAAATCAGAGTCAGAGGGCAAAGCCTAATCCTGCTCTGACTGTGGCTTTCCTGAGACATCCATCCGAGAGCGTTGCCAGGGTGATCTGCCATGTTTTTCATTGGCGGGCGGGTTGGCGCTGGGATGCCATTGCCGGGTGATAAGTGTGTCCCGGCGCCTCATACGGCAGGTGCGAAAGGACCTGGGCCCCTCTCACAGGGCGTCCTCCTGAAGGGCGAGGAGGGGGCGGGGGTGGGGGTGGTGGGGGGCTAGAGTAAATAGCTCCTGACACCCACACGTCTAAAAACTGCACCCTATTATTTTTCCCATAATTCTCTACCCCCACATTTAAAAAAAAGACTTTTGCAATCATTAAAGTCATTACAAGGGTTACAGTGATTGCAGTGTCTTCAGCCAAATGGAAATAATAGCCAAGAGTGGAGCGTGTGTGTGTGTGTGTATGGGGGGTAGAGGGGTGATGACGGGCACTGTGTGGCCCTAATGACGGGCTGGTTTCCTGGCTTCTGGGGGCCCTTACTACACGCTAATTGAGCTGCTGGCCCACGCTGCTCTCGCATGATCACTCTATTAATGCATCGCGTTATGCTGCAGCCGCCCAGTGGCTCAGCGTCGCGGCCCTGATTCATTACAATGTTTCCTCCCTGCAGGGAATCCCCAGGCCACAACTGCAGCGCTGCCGTGTTCACAGACGGCCCAGATGAGAGCTGGCAGCCCAGTAATCTGCAGAGGAGTTTAGCGGAGCTGCTCTCCTCGCGGGCTCCAGACCTCAGGAGTGAAATAAAATCAAGGGAACCTCCAGTGTCGTTGCTGTCTGGGGTTTCTTCATCCCATAAGGTGGGGGCCTGTATCGACCGATGTGGGCTCTAATGAGTGTGACAGGCTCAGTGTGGATCATTCTGGAGGAAAGTGGAAGGCAAGGCAGCTCTGTTGTCCAAGTCATTGGTAAGGCCTTCATGTGTCAAAGCGTTTATAGCTGGGAATACGGCGATCGCGTGCGTCAAAGCGTTTATAGCTGGGAATACGGCGATCGTGCGCGTCAAAGCGTTTATAGCTGGGAATACGGCGATCATGCGCGTCAAAGCCTTTATAGCTGGGAATACGGCGATCAAGCGCGTCAAAGCGTTTATAGCTGGGAATACGGCGATCATGCGCATCAAAGTGTTTATAGCTGGGAATGCGCCGATCGCGCGCGTCAAAGTGTTTATAGCTGGGAATACGGCGATCATGCGCATCAAAGTGTTTATAGCTGGGAATGCGGCGATCATGCGCGTCAAAGTGTTTATAGCTGGGAATGCGGCGATCGCGCGCATCAAAGTGTTTATAGCTGGGAATACGGCGATCATGCGCGTGTATAATTAACGGCGTAATAACACCCATAATAATAACAAAAACGATAAAGATAATATCTGAGGTGGGAGCGGGAGGGGCGGCGGTGGATTCATATGCAGCCTAACGACCCAGATGCCGCTGACAGCTGAGGAGTCGTCTGGATAAATGTTTGCTTTGCTCCATTATAAATTCTCATAAAGGCACTTGAAGGTCAATATTTCTCTTTGTAATGGAGATTCCCATGCAGCCCGAATTGGAAATATGGCCTCTGTGCGATTGGAAAGGGCAAGGCGTTAATCTCGGCGTCGCAAGAGACCTACCGGCATGGAGAGGGGGCCCATTATTAGCATCTACCACAGCCCCCCCACTGAAAAATCGTTATAAACTGATCTGATGGGCTGAGGGTCACTGACTCTGTTATCATCCCGATACTCCGGTCTGCCAACGGAGCCCGGGCCAGTTTGCGGCTCACGGACAGTAACCGACTTCCTTGTGCTCAGGGCTTCGTTCCAGTTGCTGTATTTACATGAGTCGCTTGCTCTGTGGGGGGGGGGGGGGGTCCTGTCTCAGCCCCCAACCTGTAAGCTTCAATCAAAACTTTCAGCCCATATATTATTATTATTATTATTATTATTATTGTT